AACCAACTCTAAGATCTGAACATGTGTAGACATGAAAACATCTGTAGACCTGAAGATCTGTACACCTGGAAATATATGTAGCCCCGTAACCAACTCTAAGACTTGAACATCTGTAGACAAGAAAACATCTGTAGGATCTGAACATCTGTAGACATGAAAACATCTGTAGGATCTGAACATCTGTAGACCTGAAATTATCTATAGACTTGAATATCTGCAGACCTGAAAACATCTGTAGACCTGAAAACATCTGGAGGATCTGAACATTTGCCCACTTGAACATCAGTAGATCTTAAATTATCTGTAAACCTGAATATCTGTAGACCTGAAAACATCAGTAAGACTGAACATCTGTAGGACCTGAACATCAGTAAGACTGAACATCTGTAGGACCTGAAAACATCAGTAAGACTGAACATCTGTAGGACCTGAACATCAGTAAGACTGAACATCTGTAGGACCTGAAAAGGTCTAGATCAGTGTAGTTTTTGTTTAAACGAAGTCTGGGACCAGGAGGAGATCCAGCTCACCTGACTCCTGAAGGCCCAGCAGCCTTTGGTCTTGCTGGTCTGGACGAATGCTCGAGCTCCGAGTAAAACCTGAAACCAAACGTCTGTCAAACATCTGCGTGACTCTGGCTGCACATGTGATAAAACACCCACATCATACCAGGAAACCAGAACCCCACAGGCCTGTGGCCCAGGTCGCCTCTCGGGTCACATGACCCTCTAACAGGAAGTGGACGTTCAGCTCAGGAAGCAGCAGCAAGATGTTGGCGAGCATGCACACGATCGCCATGGGAATCAGAGACACGCCAACACACCGCAGACACCTCGACGTGCACATCTGTCAGCCGGGAAAAAACAGACTCAGTCTTCAAAACTAACGATGAACATGAGAAACACGGATACAGCAAACATTAAAACGTAAACATCAAAACGACAAACATGGGTAACCTATGGTAAACATGATGGGTAACCTATGGTAAACATGATGGGTAACCTATAG